TATCATATTTCGTTTCACTTCTTTTCTGAATAGATTACTGGGAAATATATTATTTTAAGGCCACATCAATATCATATTTCTCCACCTGATGCTCGCAAACATACAAACCGCCTTGCGTTCGATGCAATTAAACGTATAGTTAGGAGATAAACACACTGTATTTTCAATGTAGAGCTAGGTTACCTGTAGATTTAACCCCGCTAATTTTGAATTTGGAACCGAACGCGCAGCGTGAGGTTTCAAATGTTAAATTTAGCGGGGTAAAATCTACAGGTAACCTAGCTCTACATTGAAAACACAGTATGTTTATCTCCATTCTACCATGACTAAATAAAATGCGAACTCTTTGGTGTTAGCAAATATACTGAGTGAAGCGGCATGGGTTGAGTTCAGTGTTTGGAGTGGGTTATCGATCTGAATTACAGAATCACCGAAACAAAATATGGTGCTGTATATACTCAAGCAGTTTGTTTACAACGTAATACTTAACTCGAACATATGACAGGCATTGAAAGCATATAAGCACGGCAACTTGGTAAGCTAACATAAGGTGGGCATCCCTAAAGAAGACAAAGCAAGCTTTGCAAGGCTTTCGCTCTACATCGCGCGTCAACATTATGACGCCATATCGCTCATTGTGACGCAAAAGATATGACGTCACAGTCGTATATAGAAAAGCGCCAAAATTCCAAGCTCCAAAACGTAAATACATTCCCTTTGTTGGTTTTTTGTCGTGTTTTTCCGTACGAAATGTATTGCAACACATCCTTTGAATATTGTTGTAACCGCATCGGTGCATTTTGTAACCTGTAATTGTAGATATAATTATTTAAATATGCCTACCGACAATGACTGAAAATAGTGCTATTCTATGAATATTAGCTTCCGCGGTGATGCGGCCGTTTAACCAGCTGTTTCAATCAGAGGGGGTTTATTGTGATTTAATAGCCTCTGATTGACCGATCAGAATCGAGTAAATTCCAAATTCATGGTAGAATTGGTATTAAAACGCAGTCAAACTGATCACTGTAACAACAATAAATAGATGCTCTGTGTTATGTGAGTAACATTTTTTATGTAAAATATTTAAACTACAAATATACATGAGTATTTCATGTACTGCGTTATTGTTCACTTATTCGTTACATGAAACAGCACGTGTTTTGTGGAGGTGCGTTTTATCAGTCTCGTCAGTGTCAAATTGTCACACTGCATTCTATTCTCTTTAAGGTTGCGGATATTCGAAAATAGCCGAGGTTACAGAAAAGCAACGAGGTATCGATTATGGTAATGGATTGATGAGAAAGAGGAAGGACTATATGTGACATGACAATCAACAGAACACTTTGGCGGTTTATTGTAAGGGTGTAAAAAAAAAGAACACATACGTAGGTAGTGAAAAATTGAACGTTTGAGATGATATGACTAATAATGGATCATGCCCCACGATTGGTCAAACATTCATTTACACAGCGTGGCATGGTCCGCATCAATCTCCTAATGGACAATGGCCACTGAAGATAATTCATAGTGTCAAATATTCCCCAGAAATGCATTGTTTGTCGGGAATGGTGTATACAGCATGCAACAAGGGGACACTAATGGTAATGTCGATTTGTATTTTTGTTGCTATCCTTTGCTTTCTTAGCAAACACAATACGCAAATACAAGTCATGAATAAAACGCATATTGGTAGTCATTATGGAAATCACAGTAGTATTGCAGTTTGTTATAGCAACTCATACCTGACATTAACACCTCGGCAAATACTGGCAACAACATCATCATCTGTGATGACTGCTTTCTGAACTATGGACGACACAATAATGACATCGGCATTACAGGTTGCATCGTAGTACTTCTGTTACCAAGTCAGCAAGGATAAAGATAAAACTGGGTTGCTTTGGAGCATGTACTGTTGTCTTTCATGTTTAATTCTAAAACATGTTGGCCGCCTGGATATTGCTGGAATATTGCTAAAAGCGGCGTAGACTCACTCACTCACTCACTCTAAAACACGTTGACCTCGATCTTCTGTATATCTTATTGTGAAAATATAAAGTGAGTTTATGATATTTATTCTTAAGTCTTAGCATCTGATAATTATAGCATCTGGTGTTCGTTCACCTCCTCTTGGCGGTCGGCTACAGTGATCATCAACTCATCTGGTCATTTCAGTTGCAGTTAATCTCTATGTCCCTAGGCATTTCATTTGCAGTGATCTTCAACTCATCTCAGCCTTTCATTAGCAGTGATCTTCCACCCTTTTTGCATTTATTTTGCACTAATTATCAAGTCATCTGGTCCTTCTATTTGTAGTGATCATCCACTCATGCGGGCATTTTTGCTTAGTTGCAGTGATCGCTAGCACTTCTCGGCTTTGCATTTGCAGTGATCATTAACTCATCTGGGCATTTAATTTGCAGTGATTATCAACTGTTCTCAATATTTTATTTGCATCAACTGTCAGCTTTTCTGGGCAGTTCTTTTGCTATATTTTTCTGTGTTAAACATTACAATAATCGCTAACTTCATATTAGAACTACAACAAAATTATGAGTTGATGATATAGTGATGATCAACTCATTTATTTGTCAGTCAACACATCTGGGCATTTCATTTACATAATAATCAACTCTCCTGTGCGTTTCATTTGCTGTAATCGTCAAACTATATTTCAGAAGTCATATTAAATCAGAATGGTGAGTTGAAGATAGGTGTAGATAAGTACATTGACAGTTGGTTTCATAAACGTATCATTTATCATTCATCATATCATCTGAGAGAGAACTATTCCCTTGACTTGTCGTGTGTGGGTCCAACTGTGTAATGACACTACCTTCATGCGTATACTGGCAGGGCATAATATGTTCACATCCCTTTTTGTGATTAGAACTTAATAAACATCCTTTGTGCAACTTTTGTGCTTCAATCTGGTACGTAAGAAAAATGAATAAACTAGGTATGTCTAGGCAACGGTTTCATTAATGAACATGTTCATCAGTCATGACTGTTCCACCAAAAGTAACATTGCTCAATATGTTATTCTAAACCTGGCAATACTGCTGGTTTGATTAATTTTTCATTTAATAATGATAGTTTGGCTGATTAAACATAACTATCTTTCAAATAACTGTCAGCTAACGGTTGACGACTTTTGACTTCAGGTTGATGCTCACTGTCAGCGACTAGTGAAGCACATGATATGTTTCACACAAACCAATTTCAGAAAAAGCCTAAAGCATGAAATTTCCTATAACTAAGAGAGGTCTGTGTTGTCATGATTAATAGCACTCTGAATGTAACAACGCTTCATTCAATGTCGTTGAATTTTTAGGTGAATTTTTAGAATTAAATAATCTTACGGTATCAGCACATTACCACACATATACATGTATTAAATATGTATTGCAAATAACGATTATGACCATTATGATTTCAAAAATATTGACTAATTCACCATTGAGGACTGCTGAAGCAGGGATAATCATGACAGACCACGATAACGTAATTAAACGTTAGTCGTGGTATTAATCGTGGTGAGGTTCCATCTGTTCCCCCTGGTGCCATCAGGTCCGCACGGCTATAGATGCATGCCTATTGATACCACTGTGTAGGTACGTTGTGCTCGTGGACTTAATGTTTAAAATATGTATATGAACTTGCGTGTGTAGTATTATCGTCAGTCATAACAGTTTCTCGATACAAGAATAGCCATATTTTCATGATGGGGGAAATAAGACATCGTTTGTGAAGGTACTGTGGTGTTACACCGTAACAAGGAAAAATGGTTAAGAGGTTTTTACGATTTGTCACTTGTGACTGACATAGTAATGGCTAATCGATGAGGTGTAGATCTCAGATGCTTTAAGTGTTCACAAATGATTATACCCTCTGCTTGGTTGAATGAGATCTTGTTCATGGCGAACATGTTTCAAATCAGGTAAAGTTACGCAACGCGTTTGTACCTTGTAGTTGCAGGTTGTGAACGTACATATATGTTTACAGGAAGCTGAGTTATATACTGCCAAGGGAGAGGTGAATGCCACTGAGATGAACACTGCATTGTACTTTTTAAAAGTTCTGCAGGCTATGTTTAAGGTCGTTATTACTTCAAGAGGATACTCGAAGAAAAAAGAACGAATCAACTTGGCAATGATCAAATATTGTTACACAGGTTAACTTGCCATGATGATAGGGGCGTAGAGTGTTTAAAAACATGAGTGAATGAGTGTGTCCATGGATCTCCGTATGTATTAGCGTGTACATACTTGTAACGGTGTTGTTAATAGCAATCTTGAGAGTATGGTCAACGGACGGCCAAGTCCCCTCAGGTGCCGCATTTCCTTGTGAAGAATTTGTCGTGTCAGAAAACTATGTTCGTAAATCGAATCCCGGTTCGCCCTGATAATGTTTTTAGGTTTGTCAGCACCATAACCGTGCTCGTGGGTTTTTCAAACGTGGTACACATCTACAACCTGCAATACTTCGGGCTTTTCTCCCACATCAAGATGATGCGCCGTGATATAACTGAAATACTATTTAAAGCACCGTCAAACCAAATAAGGACGGTTGTCTGTAGAACAGATACGGGATGGCTTGAACAGTACGTACTGCAATGTTGTGGTATTGTTCCTGTCCCCCGGTTATTATATGACACTTGTGTTTTCATCTGTTATACGAACCCCAGAAAGAATAAAGCGTGAATGACTCTTCATACTTGTGTCATACATCTGTGTCTTATTCGGTATAACATTATCACACCAGCAATTGTTTTTGCACATTAGATATATGTAACGCTAATTATCACTGGAAGCATAACAACTACAGTTTTTGTCATGTATTATTCCTCAATCGCCCCGGTCGTACAATAAGCAACACATTAAGCGCCCCGTATCAGACAAAAGGAAGTATTAAAGCAAGTGACAGTGAGGACAGGGATGCACAATGATCGTAAGCGACACGAATCGAGGATATTGATTTGGAAGCAATTAACTCACCTTGCCGGAACTCTTTTCAACAGGAGCACAGGAGACAATGGCCCAAGAAAGCAGCAAAAGAGAAGAGACCCGAAAATATCGTTCCCACTCCATGATGACTGGTCTGAGAGATCGTCTCCGTTAGTCTTGCAGCCTCAGTATTTATGTAGTCTTGGCAATGATATATGTTAATGCGTTACACCCTCGTTACAAATGAACCGACTGGCTTATCGGAGAGACAAAACAAAGTCCAATGTGCCTTTTTATATACTTCCTTAGCACTTGAATGCCAGTCACAGCGGAAAATGGGAGGGGCTGAGAATCAAAGTATTGTGGGTTGGATATAACAGGAGATTTCGTTTGAGTGATTTGTTCTCGGGCAAGGTCCATCAATATTAGATTGTACGGGTATCGAGTTGACGACAGCGGATTGTTCCGGTTCGTGTATACGCACAGCCTCTGAATAAACATTTCGCAGATTGGCCGAGCAGGACAAACAGGGCTATAGGGACGCTAGTTTCGTGTGTTTTTGTCCGGACACATGCTTGCTCGATGACCAGGTACTCTAATTTACTTTCGCTTGTTTATTGAGGCGATTACGTTATTAGAGTTGTGAATGAATAATGCTGCTGTTGTTAAGTCAACATTCTTAGAACGGTCTTAGAACAGCTCGAGAATGAGAGAAATAGTGCCCGCTGGCACATCAATGAATTTAACCCCCTAAGTTTCACACCCACCTTGAATTTCCTTGCAAAAAGACATATGATAAAAAAATTAATTACCATCCATACATTTCAATGATTTAATGTATTCAACAAACGTAGCAACTCCAGTATCCAATAACACTGATGGAAGTCTATCTAAGACATGGATTATGAATCTGTGCACTACCCTGTTAATACATGTCTCATGTTGGGTGTATCTATGTGACTTGTGCTCAATATATTCTGTTTTAAAACAAAAGTCAACTTTAGTTTCTTAAAGAGTTAAACCTTAATGTAAGTCAATTGGAATATTTTGGCCATGTCTCTGTGCTCCACCAGCCTCAACAACGGCTAATTCTAATAGTCAAGCTTGCCTTCGGCTGTTCTAGCGCGTGGCTAATCTCGAAAATCCGCTTTAATAAACGCTCGTGACTAGAGTTCCAGATTTCTAAAATGTGAAATTAAGCAACTGTGTGCCGTTAAGCTGAGACATATTTTCTAACCAAAGACATAGAAAGAACCCTAGTTTAATCTGTTTGTATTCTGAGCTTATAAATTTATAAAACAAATATTGGAAAGGGAGATTTATGATGTGCACGGCCGGCCGCTCTTTAGAACTTTACCTAAAGCGGTGCTCACTGCACAGCAGGTCACACACGGCAAATGTCCAATGACGTAATGCCGTTTAGAGTAACAGAAATAGGATTATTACATGGCAGTATAGGAAACCAAGTTATTCACAGTGCTTTAACTAGATGTTGCCACGCGACCCTTTCTTTGAATATACCAGCCGAATATTACACACACACTGTTGTACATATGTATACTCGTACTCATCTAGGAAGCTATAGTGTGTGTTGCTTAAGGCTGCACATGTACACCAATCCTTCCATCTAGAAGTGTGGTCTGTATTTTTTGCGCTGTACATAAATACACACCTCCCCACGAACAACTATGTTGTATGTTAATGCAAGAAGTCCATGCTCTCAGTCATTGCTTTGCCTGGTTCTGAAATTATAAGGTTAACTATGTGGTCGAACCATCCTTTCATTAATTTACATTCAAATGTACAACAAATGTCTTCCTTTACACCATCTTTGCATTCAACATACACACTGAATGAAAGTTGCATCTATTTGAATTCATTTGAATCCGACGTGCTATAACCGGCAAACAACAATGCATAGGGTTTACTTTAAGAGAGGAGGTGTTAATTACAATTGAAAGAATATATTTAATATCAGTTTTAGTTCAAGTAAAGAAAAAACAAGTGGATGTGTACAGGTGGCTACCTTCTTTTATCGCAGGTGTTAGGTGGGGGAAATAAAACTGAAGAAAATATGCTGTGCGGTTCATATAGTGATCAGTTTAGACATCGTGATAGCATCTCTACATTCAGCCCTTTTTGTCTTACAAATTCTCGGAAAGTACACAGAAGGTTAATGAAATGCACAAAGAATATCCATTGTCAGAAATGATCCGAAATGTTTTACGACGAAGACGAGGCTTTATGTCAAATGCGACGTGATTATCCGGTGTTAATAATGTAAAACTGGTTAGCTTGCAATAGGCGCAGGGTAACTGGTAAGACTAAACAATGAGCAGCTGATCAGATCAACTTGTAAATGCCACTCTTGGTCGAAATCTCTGTATGAACTCCGAGACGATGGCAGGGACGAAAGCAGTAACGAACTTTGCCAAATTAATGGAGGATTTAGAAACAATTTCATGCTAAAGTCTTTATCGATTGGTGAAATCGTCCGATTAAGTCTGGCTAGTTTGTGACTAGTTTACGTCACTGAGACACGATATGGTCGATTATGTAGGAAAGTCAGAGTACGTCCACATGATTGCCATATATGGCATCCACTGAACGCACCTCTGTGGTCGATATATCAAAAGGAAGGTAAAACTGATTATCTGCATCAAGCGGCGTCTGCATCGTACTGGCATTCAACTGTATTGACGTATACATCTATACATGTATGCAATGTATAAGTATAACAGACAGAAACAGAACTGTATTGAATGTGTAATCATGACATGAAGGTACAGATATAGAATATTCTAATACTTTATCCAGAGCGTAGAGCGTTATCTGAGTAACCATGCATCACAGTATAAGTTACACGTCAATGCTACCCCACTGAGTCGAGCCATAGCAATTAAATTTGTTTCCACCAAATTTGTATACAGGTTGATTACCCCCAACCGCTGAGCCTTCTTCAGCAATGTTTGCATCTTATGAGCTATATCAACCTGGCAGCAGAATGTGTTTCGGGTGTGAGGAGACGCTGGACAAGGTGCACTGTCCAAGATATAGAGGCCAACGGGAAATTGTCAAACAGTGTGGCATCTCTGTATACAGTACCAGTCTGTGTGATGCAGCGTTTGCAACAGAAACTCTTTTTGTGTTTCCTTGATGCCGATATTGTATGTTTATAAAGTTCAACAGCAGTACACAAAGAAATCAAAGGGCCGTTAAAGTGTAGAAAACATCTTTATCTCGCTCGAAAATTTGTAATTTTAATAATTATGTGGTCGAAGCTTCTTACATGGTGCATCGCCAGGACATAAACATATTTCGTGGGACCTTCAGGCAACCGATGTTCCCTAAGATGAGACAGTTTTACCGGAGTATCTTTACTTAACGTCGATTGTAGGGCGGCTGCCAAACCCGAGCGTCAAGGTTCAGTGGCTCCATCTGATACGTCACGTTAAGATACCGACACTGTTTTGCCTAACCTATAACCAGAAGTAAGAAGTGATCGTCACTGATCAAATCTGCTTTTTGCTGACACAAGTAATGAAAACGGCGATCACATCCACAGTCAAGATGCATAACGTTGCATCGTGACTGGATGTGATCGCAACTATTCACAAATATTCACATACCTTTCAATGATCAGAATAGTGAGTTAACTCCAGTCTGGTGAGTAAAATGTACAGAATGTTTAGGGAAACAAGCGCCCCTGACAGAGCCAGGGCGTGAAAACTCAGCCATCCATGATAGGTAAATGTAACGTCAAACGCTCAATGTACGACAGTGTATTCAAATATTATGGCTGTCGTCCGCAACTAAGTATATTTTGAAAATTTGCTGGAATAGATTAAAATGTATTTTAATGTGAAGTGCTTTCTGGAGGCCACCCCAACTGGAAACAGACTCGTTCATATAACGGTTAACACAATATCCAAAACCGAGTACTGCGGGAATTAGAATGCCAAATATCTGAGTCTAGTCGCAGTACTTAATAATGCCAAAATGGTAACAAAATGTCAGGCTACGCGCGCCGTCAATAGAATTCCTGGAAAGAGTACTGTTCACAAAGCAAGGGGCACGACGATAAGAACTTATAATTTTTTAATTTGACGTTTGCACGATATACGGTTTTTCCATTGGACAAGAGGTCGGTCACATGACCGCGAAATTAACGTTCATAAGTGTATGAACGACACAATTTGACCTTCATACGTTTTTCACGAGACCGTGTTCTTGAAATGACGTTAACACTGACGGACTACTTTCACATTCCTGGGGAAACCCCTGGGATTTTCCTAGCACGAAAACATACATAAGCATTTTTTCTGATCATTTAGAACCTTTATTCTTGGTCTCAGCATTTCAGTATACATTGAGAAACGTAAGAGAGCTTGACTGCATGATTGTTCACGAATTTCCTCGCTACGGCCTATCCTAATGAACAAACAAAGAAATGCACATCCAAACTATCGTCAGTATCGACTCGATCTGTGTCTAGGCTGACAGTGACCGTCTCCAGCAATCTACGAATTTACCTTTGTGGCTGTTTGACGCATCTTTAATCAGCTTTCAATAATCGGTCAGTTGATCAATGACGACTAACACATGTAACCGCCACAGGTTCATTAACAACTTCGGAAATCCTCCCGTCACGTTTATCGTGTCGTTCATTTTGACGTCTTGTACTTGATGTAAATGTATTACGACGCGCTGTCATTGTGACTGACTTACTGAGGTTCTTTACAGACCTTTCTCATCTAATGGTGATATTATTTGAACACATGTGTTGCGTAAGATGTTTCTGAAGAGCAAGTTGTGCATCCATACGCTCATGTCAGCTCTCCTTTTGGGGAACTACTTTATTCCGCGATAAAGCTGGTTGTTGTTTGGCTGTCAGTGTAAACATGAAGTCACACGTACTAAATAAAATTGTGTTTAGATCTTGGCCTACTTCCTTTGAGGTAAGAAATTGTGATAAAAAAAATATAAGAATTGACTTTCACTTTGTTTGGGTTCATTGGAGTATGAACCTTCCTAGAGTGAGGGCCAAACATTGTATGAACGTTGTCGTAAGCTCCGACGTTCATACAGTTTGGTCCTCACTCTATGAAGGTTCATACTCCAATGAACTCACACAAAGTGAAGGTCAATTCTTAATTGTCTTTCTGTGTGCTTCACAGAGTGTGATCGAATGTAACTATCTTGACATAAAAACGGTACGTCTGTTAGAAGGCCAAATCTTACCTTTATTCATACGTCATTCTTTAGGTAGATCGGAAGAGAGA